TGTGAGTCTGTCTGTGTGTGTGAGTCTGTGTGTGTGTGAGTCTGTGTGTGTGTGAGTCTGAGTGAGTCTGTGTGTGAGTCTGTCTGTGTGTGAGTCTGTGTGTGTGAGTCTGTGTGTGTGAGTCTGTGTGTGTGAGTCTGTGTGTGTGAGTCTGTGTGTCTGTGTGTGTGAGTCTGTGTGTGTGTGTGTGTGAGTCTGTGTGTGTGAGTCTGTGTGTCTGTGTGTGTGAGTCTGTGTGTGTGAGTCTGTGTGTGAGTCTGTGTGTGTGAGTCTGTGTGTGTGAGTCTGTGTGTGTGTGTGAGTCTGTGAGTGATTCTGTGTGTGTGAGTCTGTGTGTCTGTGTGTGTGTGTCTGTGTGAGTCCCAGTGACGGTTATTGACTGACTCTGAGCGTCTGCGAGTGTCAAGATCGCCCTCTGTGGAGGAGGAGGCTCGTGAAGGACGCCGCTACTGAGGGGGGGTGCCAGGCTAGGTGCACCTTGATGAGGCTACTGGGACAGTTGGAGGTAGTCGCCCTCCAACAACAACGGAGGGCGGAGGAGCGACGCTCACAACCACGAGCGGAGTGCCGGGCGGATAAAACGCAGCGAGTTGGCACTGGGGGGGGGAGGGGAGGGGGGGTGGGTGGGTACAGGTGCACCTAGCCTGGCACAGCAGCGGTACAACCCACGGCAACTGCAGGGGTCTGTCCCGTGACCTCCTCTCCTCCTGCACCTAGCCTGGCACAGCGGTATCGGGAGAGGGCGCGTTAAAATAATTGCTCGTTAATAAACACCCCAACTACACACCCCTCCTGTCCGCCTGTCTCTCTGCGTGCACACAAAGACAAAGATTCTCCCTCCCTCCCTTCGCAGACTGCAGGGGCAAGTGTTGTTAGCGAGTAGCAGCACCTGTGATAGGCCGGAGTGGCTGGCCAGCACCACCACGCCCGGCCGCCTTTGTCTCCCCTAGCGGCGATGTGTTCACTGCGCGATGCCAAACACCCCAGCAGCCGCGAGCGACGATGAAATTCTCGCCCGAAAAACTTTCAGCGGACGGACAGCCCGAGACCAGGCCGACCTCGGGGTTTTGAACGGCGTGCCCCGGTGTACAGCCACCACCGGAGTGGAAGAATGGCAGGCGCATCTTGCAGATGACTAGTCGATGGTCAGAGGGCAGATCAGCTCCACGGTAGGTCCTGGGTGTCGAGGACATGGGCTCGCATTCGCCGGTCCGTCACTACGTAGTCCGGCAGATGTTCTTGCTTGGACCCGGCGTGCATCCATGATGTGGTGTGGATGAAGTGCCGATGCCCGAACAGCGTGGTTGGTTAATTACAAGCCCATGGGCTGCACAAAAATCTAGCAGCCTCCTACCGTTGTTATTGAGCTGATCTGGCCCATGCCCTCCAATCACTCCAGGCCAGGTGCCAGCATCATGACCAACTCGGGCATTGAAGTCGCCCAACGAGATGACTATCCCGAGGTGCCACACACACCTACACAGTGTCACACCCACACAGTGTCACACCCACACAGTCGCACACCTAAACACAGTCACACCTACACAGTCACACCTACACACACACCTACAGTCACACCTAAACACAGTCACACACCTACACAGACACACACCCACACAGTCGCACACCTAAACAGTCACACCTACACACAGTCACACACCCACACACCTACACAGACCACAGACACACCTACACACCTCCAAAGACACACACCTACAGACACACACCTACACAGACCACAGACACACACCTACACAGACCACAGACACACACCTACACAGACACACACCTACACAGACACACACCTACACAGTCACACACCTACACAGTCACACACCTACACAGTCACACACCTACACAGACACACAGACAAACCTACACAGTCACACACCTACACAGACACACACACCTACACAGACACACCTACACAGACACACACCTACACAGACACACACCTACACAGACACACACCTACACAGACACACAGACAAACCTACACAGTCACACACCTACAGTCACACACCTACAGGGTCACACCTACACACACACCTACAGTCACACACCTACACAAACACCTACACAGACCACAGACACACACCTACACAGACCACAGACAAACACCTACACAGACACACACATACACACACACACACCTACACACACACACCTACACACACACACCTACAGTCACACACCTACACAGTCACACACCTACACAGTGTCACACCTACACAGACACATCTACAGTCACACACACCTACACAGTCACACCTACAGTCACACACACACCTACACAGTCACACACCTACAGTCTCACACACCTACACAGTGTCACACCTACAGTCACACACACACCTACACAGTGTCACACCTACAGTCACACACACACCTACACAGTCACACACCTACAGTCACACACCTACACAGTGTCACACCTACAGTCACACACACACCTACACAGTGTCACACCTACAGTCACACACCTACACAGTCACACACC